CCGCCTTCTCCGCCCTCTAGGACAGACAGAGGGATGGTGGTGGGGACCGTGGGCACCCTTCAGGGGTGGCACAGCCCCTCTGCCCCACTTGACACAGCACCTACCTGCCCAGGAGGGCTCCCGCCGCTCCCCCTTCCTGAAGGACCGGCGGGGGCTGCGGTTGGCACCACTGCCTGCCGTCTCCACACCCAGCGGCAGGGACTTGCCCAGCTTCAGCTTTGACTTCTGGGGAGAACAGAGAAGCATCTCAGCATGGGGACTTCCAAGGCTGCCCCTTCCCTTTCCCCGGTCCCCTGAATGGCTTGGGTGTGCTCTGAGCAGTGGGGAAGGGACCCATCACCATTTTCTCAGGCAGGTCACTGTCCCCACTTCCCACCCTGCTCACCTTGCTGAGGTCAGGCGGGGGGCTGCTGCTGCGGGAGTGGGGACGCAGATCGGGCAGGGGCTGCCCCTGGCTCTCTGCCCGCAAGCAGGCCTGGTAGAGTGGGGATTTCACAAAGCGCGTGTAGCTGTCAAACTTCATCAGGTTAAAGATCTGCGAATGGAGGATGCACCCTTACCCACCTACAGCTCGGTCTGGCCACTGCCCCATGGCATGGCTCCACAGTGACAGCAGTGATGCTGGGTGATGCGCAGGGTGGTCCTGCAGCCCCCATCCTGCGGGTGCTGCTCGTACCTGGAGCTGCTGGGTGCGAAACATGTCTGGGGAGGGGGTGGCCAGCATGTCCTCCCCAATCCAGGCCTGCTTGTCAATGTTCACGGGACTGACCGAGTGGCTGGAGAGGAACTCATCGTAGATTCGCCGTGCCTCCTGGGCCAGCTGGGGGAGCAGGGAGGGTCAGGCTGGGACCAGGAGCCCCTTACTCACTGCTACTCTGTGGGGACCCCCTGGCTCACCCCACAGAGCCACCTGAGCCCTGAGGGGCCAAGTTTCCCCTGGGACCAGCTCGGTACCTGGGCTTCAGAACGGGCATCAGAGCCAGCCGCCCCCACCCAGTGCCAAGCTCTGGGCACAACATGCCAGTCTCTCCATGGAGGTACAGCCTGAGGTAGGAACTGTCTCCCACAGCCACATGGCTCTGTCCCCATGAGCCCCTGGCTAGCTCTCTGCCCTTGCTCTCTTGTCCTCCCGGCAGCGCTCTGCACCCCCCAGCTGCCCCGGGCTGGAAAAGCACATCCTGCTCCAAGGGGCGGGCAGTCCCAGCTGTGGCTTTTCAGGCACACATCACGTCCATCTCCTTATCATTCCGAAAAGACACCCCAGCCTGCTCAGCCTCCTGGAACAGGGGTCTGCCAGGACCCTGGCACACGCAGGCATGACAGCCACCTCCACCTCTGCCCACGTCCCTCCCAGCAGCCACGCGACCCAGGCTCAGCCGCACCATGGCTGTGCGGAGGCCGGTACCTGCTGTGTGTCGCTGGCTGGGATCTGCTGGAAGCGCTCGCATGCCTGCCAGAAGTAGACATTTTCGGCACTGAATTCCTTCTTGAGGAACTCCTGTGGGGTAGAGCGAGCTGCTGGCCTGGCCGGCACCACAGCTGTGGGACAGCCAGTTGCCAATGGCAGATGGGATCAGGGACCGAGGTCTGGGCTGCGGCACTCACAGTGAAGTAGGTGACGGCCACACGGTCCTGCAGCAACGTCTCGAAGGATTCGGCCCAACTGACCACAGACCCCTGTGCAGAGCCACAGGTGGCCGGTGGTCCTGGCAGGCTGTTCACGCTGTGGTTGCTGCCACGGGCCCTGGATGCATTTAACTCTGAGAAGGAGAAAAAGGGTCAATTCTGGCTGCCTGGGTGTTGCTGAGCATCGCCCCCTCATTGCCCCCTCTATCTGCAGCAAGTTCATCCACCCCATCCCGATCAGAGCCAGCAAGCACTCAGGCAGGGAACGTGAGGAGCATCACAGAAGCATTCTCAGCAGATCAAGCACGGTGATGCCTCAGCTGGCACCTTCCAGCGTGACAGCCCTCCCTGCCAGCACTGGCCGTCATCCCCTCCCCGGGGTGTCACCGTGATTCCACCTGTGACTCATCTCCCAGGGGAATGGAGCAGATACATGGGGATGGCACCCAGCCGGGGAGGGAAAGCAGGGTGGAAGGGGACATGGCGGGCACACAGCGTGGAAGGAAGCTTGGAGGATGTGTAGAGATGCCTGCACTTACCCTCTCTGCTCCTCTGGCCATGGCGAGGAAGAAATCCAGCGAGAGGAGTGCACTGAAAGTGTCATCCTCAGCTCCCAACCCCAAGGAAACCCTCCCTCGGGGAAACCCAAGGTGACCTTGCATTCAAATGGGGTCCCTCCATCAAAAAGACAGAAGTTCCCAGGGGCAACCCCAGCTTTTGAACTGGTTTGGCTGGTGAGCAACTGGGAGCAGAGGGTCATTTGCAAGAGCAGGTAAGGGTATGCAAGCAGGGCTCTCCCGGCAAAGCTGGCGGGAACAGAGGAGGAGGTGTCAGGCTGCTGCTTTGCTGGGCTCCTCGCCCTTCTCCTCCCATTCAAAACACAGGGTAACTGTGCACACCCTGTGCATACAGGTGGGAACGGCAGCCACTGGCACCCCACACTGGAAGGGTACCCCCAGCCACTGGCACCCCACACTGGAAGGGTCCTGCAGCACGGCTGAGATGGGCAAATGGGCCATCTGAGATATCCAGTGCACAATGAGACAGATAAACAGACAGACAGACTCCCTCAGGCAACCCGGGGCTGGCTGGTACCCAGTTTCTGCTTTCCCCAGGAAGCCCCCAGCACCCAAGGGTGCCAGCTGAGCAGTCAGAAGGGAGGGACAGGCGACACAGGGCTGTGCGGGAAGGATGGGGGCATATGGGGCGTCCCTGGCACAGGGCTCAGCCCAGCACTGCAGTGGCCCAGCCATGCACCCGCCCACGGCACAGCCTGTGCTGACACAGGGCCTGGCTCACTGCTGGCTCCTTGCCCCTGGCACCAGGCTGGCTGTGGGCTTCCCCCTCCCTTGAAGATGATGCTGGCCTCCTGTCCCAGAGCAAAGAGCAGCCTTACCTCCATCTGACACAGCTGGGCCCTGCGGGGGTGGAGAGAAAGAGAGGTGAGAGGGGGCACATGGCATCTGCCAGCCCAGTGGAGCGATACCCAGGCAGGTGGTAGTGTCAGGGCAAGCCCAGTCCAAACCCAGCAGCAAGGGGCACGGGCTGCCAGCAAACACTGCTCTGCTGTCAGCTGCAACCAGGATGGCTGCCCCACGGCAGGGGTGGGGGGCCGGGCTCCCAGCCCCAGGGCAGCAAGCAGGGGTAGGGGGGGTTACAAGGGGTGCCGAAGCTTTTCTCCCACCTCCCGTGCATCTACTGCCCTGGGGCCAGGCCAGCAATTGGGAAAGGGCAGATGCTATCAGATGTAACCCTGCCACCGCTGCCTGGGGAGGAGAGAAGCAGCCTCCCCAGCACAGGAAGAGGAGGGGAGGAGGGGAGGGAAGGAAGGACAACCACAGCCCTAGGCAGGCAAACTGCCTGCTCCCTCCTTCCTTGAGGCCTGGGGCTACTGGAAGGCAGATGCCCAAAACCAAGGACCGGCCCCTGCCAGAGCTGCCAGCCAAGGGCACAGCAGAACAGGGTGCCCTGCAGAATCCCCTGGGCCACCCCAGGTACCTGCTGAGGGGATGTGGTACCCCAGGACCCACAGCAAGCAGGCAGATGGGCAGAGCCTCCACAGTCAAAGCCCAGCTCAGCACTCCCTGCGCGGCGCTGCCTCTCATTGCCTCGCCTGCCATGCCCCTTACCCCAGCCCCACAAACCCCTGTCTTGTCATCTCCTTGCTCTTCCCCATCCCTCCCTGGTGCCCACACCCACATAGCTCTGCCCTGCCGAGCTCCGCGTCACCCAGTGCCATGCACCCCAGCACTGCTGCCTCCTGTTCGCCCCAGCCCCGCAGGCCACTGCCTGCCCACTACCCCGGTGCCACATCCCCCCTTCCCAGCGCTCTCTCAGCCTCACAGACCCCCAGCTTCTCCTTACCCCAGTCCCACACATCCCCGCCTGCCTGTTGCCCAGCCCCGCACAGCGCTGCCTGCCCGAACAGCCCCCTACATCCCTGCCTGCTGTGGATACCCAAGCCCCGTACACCCGTGTCTGCCCCTCGCCCAGCCTCACACCCCTGCCCACCCATC